AAACACACTCAAGGGAAAATGTCACAGTTCCTGTGAAATTGATCAGAACTGCCAATACAGCTCACAATAGGCTGGATTTACATTTGCGTGCATGCAAAACACGGATGAAATTTGCTCAATATTTGGTCGAGATTCATGCTTTTATTCAAGTCTAAACAACAAAGCTAAAGTACCATTACAGGCTTTCACAGGAAGACGTGTGATTTCACGTCTTTATATGACCACGCAAAAAAAAAATGTTTTAACGATTTGACCACGGCATTTTTTTTTAATTTAAAAACGCGCTACAAAAACTTACCTAAACTTATCTGAAAAAAAAAATTTTAAAAAATAATAAATATTAACGAAAAAAAAAATAAATACTTAGTTGAAGCAAAAACACAATAAAATAAATACATATATATAACACAACTAAAACAAAACTCATCAAACTAAAATGCTTAGTCTATTTAATTTACGCATTAAAAAACCTTTTCATCTTTGTTTCAATATTTTTATATACTTTTTATTTATTTAATATGTTCAAAAGTTAAATATTTCTCATAAAAAATACATAGTTATATAAATAAAATAAAAAAATATTTTATTAATACTTTTTTTTAAATTAATTAGAAGCGTTTTTTTTTTACTCTATCAAAAGCGTTTCGATAATATAAAAGCATTTAAGATCAAACTTATTAAGTAGTAACGGTTTTCTAAAACTTTTTTTTCAACAAAATTTTGTTTATCTTTTTAAATGCATTAACTTTAATCCTTTTTAAATGCATTAACTTTAATCATTCTTATATTTAAATGCGTTAAAGAGACTAGCCGTAGAATGTCATCGTTTATAAAAACAAAACAATTTTTTATTTATAAAAACGTAGCTGTAGAATGTTATCATTTATAAAAACAAAACAATTTTTTATTTTTTAACAAGATTTATTTTAGAAATGAACACTTAAACAATTTATATGTTTTAAATTAAAAAAATATATACAACTGTCAATTATATTTAAAAAACAAAACTTTTTTTCAGTAAACTGTTACTTTATTAAAAATCATTTCGCTAATATAAAAACATTTGTTAAGAAGTTTTGATGTAATTAATTTCACTTTTTTAGAATATTTTTTATTTAGCGCATTTCTAAAACGTTTTTTGAATTAGCCACGGTCAAACCGTCATAGCAAAATGTAACTTGCGTGGTCATATAAAGAATTGAAATCGCACGTCTTCCTGTGAAAGCCTGCATTAGGATTAGAAACCGCAACAAAACAATTATTAATTTTGAAACATCTTGATTATCAAGTACGTTTGCCAGATCATGATTTTTTAATGGCTTCCAGATATAAGCTTATACCGTCTGTTTATGCAGCATGTATTATTGACGCAGGCAAATTTACTTATGCAGTGTCATATTATGGACCAACATTTATTGCTATTAAATCTATGATGCATGATAACAGCACTGCTTTTACTCATGACATAATTTGGAGCATCTTGTTTCAATTAAAATTCTAACCACATAGACGTGCAGCTGTGGCGCAGTGGTTAGAGCGCCTGCTTTATAAGAAGGAGATCAAGGTTCAAAATGAACTTTGGACATATTTCGCGTCACGGTAAGGAAGGAGGTATGAGGTATGAAATGGTGCTCTGTGACAAGACCCTTAGGTTTTCTAGGGGCACTTAAAAAAAAATAATAAAATAAAAAACAAAACAAAAAAAAAAATACAATACAATTAAATTTTGAAAGATTTAAAAATCTTTTTTTTTTAATAAATTAAGAAAACCGTTTTAAAAATGATCTATATTTTTAACTTAAGTTTATAATAATTTATATTTCAACTCAATTTATACTTATAACTCAAGAAATCGTTTTTAAAATTATATAACATTTATTTTTCAGATATATATAAAATTGATATTAAAAACTTGAATCTTATATTTTTATTTAAACGCCAAAGCGGAAACCCCTGCAACTTAAACTTGATTTAACTTTTTTGAAAGAAACTTTTCTATTGATATCAAATATAAGCGCATTAATCAGACCTGATTTTAAAAAAAAAATAGTCAAAGAGTTGGAACTTTCCTTTGCCAGAAACAAAATTGCGTTAAAAATTAAAAAGTTTTGTGTTAATATCTCATTCAATAACTTGTTTTGGAAAGTTTAATTGACTTATTTTCTAATGTTTATCTATGATATGAACACAACTTGTCTCGGCACTTGGGGTTCCCTTTAAGTTCTTTTAGTAAACAGAACTTTAAAGTTTTCAAAAAAAATTGTAATTAGAAATTTTTTAAGGGCAAGTATACTTCCCTCCCTCCCCAACTGTCATTTCATAGTGACCATTATGTTTGTTGGTTGTTTTTTTTAATCTATTTATTATTATAATCAAAAACATTTTAAATATTTAAAAACATTTATTTATTATTAAGTGTTCGTTAGTTGTGAGTTTAACTTTAAGTTAGAAAAACAACCATTAACTAAGAATACTTTTTAATTAGTGTGTACATACTTTTATATTTTATATGAGCGCACATATTTTATGGATGATAACCAAATGTGTGGTATGGATATGGATGGTATGGTATGGTATATGGATGTTAACCAAAAGCGCACATACTTTATGGATGATAACCCCAAGTGCAATGCCTCACAATATAGATAGTGAAGAGATAATAGGTTTTTTTAGTTATAAAAAAAGATAGTAAAGTGGTCTAATAACATTGATTTAAAAAAAAGAATGAGGATCCAACAAAACTTGAGCTAAGACTTTGAGCAGACAGACCTGCAAACAATAAAAAATGGATAAATGAGGAAAAATTCTTAAAGTGCCTATGTGTATTAACTATTAGCAAAGTGAGAACTTTATATAAACATTTACCTACCAAGCAATATGATTAAGATGGTGGCATGTTAAAAAGAAATTTTAGCAGAAAAACCATGATTCTGAGTTTTGAAAGTTCGTTTATTGTGGAAGAAAAAGTAAACAAGAGAAAACAAGACCGAATTTACACTTAAATTATAAATTCTTATTGGAAACAAGATCAAACTAAATTAAAGCTGTTGAATATTGCATGAAAAAACTTTAGCTTTTACTTGCTGAAAAAATTCAGCTAGCTGTATCAGGAGAATTATTATTTTTATTATTAATATAATTTCTTAATTTGAATGCATATATGATTATAAATACTTATATATACCTAAAAAATACATAAAAATGTTTTATAAGTTTTAAAGATTGCAAAATATGTGCCACAAGTTTTGTACGCTTTTTTTTGTTGTTGGAGTGGGTCATCCATCCCTTTGACAAAATGGATAATCTGATGAATTTTGTAGTGCGGTAAAACAACTTTTTATACTGATTTTTCTCTTTTTATTTTAAGATTTCTTTTTTTAACATTAAATTTTTTTTTTTTTAAGGTTTGGCGAGTGGCCACAGATTCTTTAATATATCTTGATACATGACAATTGCAAACTTGCAAAAACTCATTGTAAGCGCTGTGACTTGTAAAAACTTATTGCTTTTGAAACCAAACTTATATCAAGCTATAAAAAATATATATATGAAAGATCGAAAGATTTATAAAGGTTGGTAAATGCCTTGATTTGATTACCTTTTTTTACCACTATTGACTGATAATAGAAGTCCCTTAGTAGTAGGAGAATATTTTAATAACTTATTCTCCAGTTTATGTAAAACTATGCATATATATATATATATATATATATATATATATATATATATATATATATATATATATATATATATATATATATATATATATATATATATATATATATATATATATATATATATATATATATATATATTTGAATTGAGCAACATGCAATAAAAATTATTTATAATGAATAAAATAAAATTAAAATGTGTTCATTTACTATTTCTTATAACAATGAAAAATTAGTTTTTTCTGTAAACGCATGTGTATCTTTGTTGCATCAATAGATAAATAATTAACTTTTATATTAAATTTTTTATTTTTAAATCCATGGCAAATTTGTAATATCTACACATTCTTTCAAATAAAATTTGTAATATATACACATAATGTATATATTAATATATACATTAATACACATAATATATAATATAATGCAAATTTGTAATATATACACATTATGTCAAATAAAAATTTATTTTACGCCCCCTCTTATATGATATATTAATGGTGCACTTTCCATGGATGCATCATTAATAAATCTTTTAATCTAGAAAAATATGTTATACTTCTTTATTGTTGTACTTTCAATAACCAATTAGATATTTCAAGATTGAAACATTTTTGGTATTATAGTATTAAAACATCATCAACTATGAGTTTTACATTTATTTGTCATATTTGGAGGATTTTTGGTGTGAATTTATTTTTTTTAATTTTATAAATCTTATTAAATTTATCATTTAAATTTTGAAAACAGTAATTGCATTTAAGGCCGGCGCGATAGGGGGCGCAGGGGGTGTGTGACATCCCCACCACCACCACACCACTTGTATATGAAAAATCCTGTATAACATAATTTTATTCATTTTATCATTCATTTTAATAAATATATAAATATTTATGAAATCAAGTCATTTTTGATACTAAGGTTTATCAAACCATCACCACTACACCCACCTCCATTGCTAACAACACCTCTCAAATCCATAAATCAAAAAACCAATACTTAAACCGTCAAAAGTTTTGTACAAATTGTTCAATTTTGATCATTTTTTCTCATTTAAAATACTGTATTGACCCTCTTTCCAATTAAAAATAACATAGTATTCAAACAATCTGAAAACTGAAAACCATAACTTTTTATAGAACTGTCCACTTTTTTTATATATAATTTTTTTATATTTAAAATACCTTGAAGGGATTTTAAAAATATATGACCACAAGGTAATAAATTTAAAATTTTCATGTCACGTAGCTACTAAAATTATATATTGTAATAAAAATGAATTTGTAAATGAAAAAAGAAAATAGTAAAAATATTAAAATACCATACCCACTTTCGTTCATTGAATTTTTGAAAAAACCTACTGCAACAAAATCTTCAGTTACATCATTTTTTACAACAAGTGTCTGTGAATCTTGATCCAATACCACAGAAACATACCTTCCCTCTGAATCGTGTGAAAAAAATGGATTTCCGAATACACAGTGAAGTAAAAGGAACAAAGCAACAACAAAACTATAACTTTCCATAACTGTTTATACAGTTCACAATTTGCAACTTCTTTGTCAAGGTCTTATTTTGTTTCAGCGGTACAGAAATGCACTTTTACAGTTCTGTAACTCGTAAACTGACAACTAAAATCTATACTGTGATTTAACAATAAGAATCACGAGACTGAAATAGATCGCCCGCTGAAATGTAAATTGAGCCGCTTATATTGATTTATTATTTACAATTTATATTTATAAATATATGAAAATACGAAACTTCTAATCCGGGCTTCAAAAATTTCTAATTCCGATTGATTTTATATCTCCGACTATGACTTAGTGTCGAATCAGAAATTTAGGTGTAAAATTACCGATGAAATGCTTGTAATAAAAGTACTACCAGCAATTTTTTTTTTTAATTTGCATTTGATATATTTCAATAATATAGTTTACATTTTTATCTTTATAACTTGTTAGTGGTGATTACTGATTCTTTCTCTAATATTTGTTGGATTTATAAAATGTTTACGACGTCTGAAATTTGTTGCATTTATAAATGTTTACTTGTAGAAATTAAGTGTTTTTATTTGTAGAAATTTACTATATATTTTTACTTGACTAAAATAGAGTTTATCATTGTTATTAACGATATTGTTTAATCGGTAAGTATTTCGTTAAGAGGATCAATTTATTTAACTTTCTATTGCTTTTTTCGAGTTTTGTGTGTAATTTTGTGTGTAAAATTGGTTTTGTATGTTTCAAAAATTGTGTGTTAATAACTTCTCGCGTTTCGAACATGGTATTCTCAATTTGAGGGGGTTGCAAATTTTATATGGTCATATTTTTTGAACGTTGAGAGATAATACTATGAAACTTAAAATTTATCAATAAATATAAGTCTAGTTGAAAATAGTATAAAAACTATTTCATCAACTTGTTGCTCTCACGTTTGAGGCAGTGTCGGACAAATTTATGGGTTTTTTTTGTTCCCAAGCTCCAATCATCGTAATTTTTTGCAAAGCATCCTTATTTTACATAAGTATAAACTTATAAATGTTTAGAGTTTGCCGCCACTGTAAATCATGTCAAAGTTCGTTCTTCAATTTTAAATAAATTAACACTTTTTTTCTTCTTTCAAATTGTCTCAAATTCTTGACAAACAATTTTTTTCTTCTTTCAAATCGTCTCAAATTCTTAACAAAAAAGACGTAAATCCTGAAAAATAGCTGTTTTGACCAATGTGTCCCAGTTTGATAATTTTTTTTATTTATCTTAGTTATATGTACACATACATATATAAATTCACACACTTACACACATACAAGGCCGGATTAAAGGTCTTGGGGGCCGGAGCCAAAAAAATTTAGGGTCTTATTCCTAATAAAGTGTATTTAAAAATGAATGCAAAAAATATAAGATTACTTTTTTATTTTAATAGAAACTTTTCTGGCTTTCACATTTGCAAAATCAATTACGACATCTTAAAAATTTATATTTTTTAACAGTGTTTTTTCAATTGTCATTAAACAAAGAGCATTTAAAAGATCATTTAACAGTGAGGAACGGAGATCATTCTTAACTATTACCATTTTTGAAAATGTTCTCTCTGCACTACAATTGGTAATGGGAAGGGTAAGAAAAATCCGATATGCAATGTCAACATTGGGAAAAACTGATTCTAACTTATTCCTACGAATTGCTTGTAAACATTCAAGTGCTGATATTCTTGTCATTTGCCATTAACTTGGAAAACTGGATAATTTCATCAGGAAATTGCGTATCTAAGTCCGAAGGATAAATAGTACACAAGGATTTGCCAGCAGCAACAATGAGAGGAACGATCATAATCTGAAAACTAGTAAGAAAACCAAACTTTCTCTTTGCAGACTCGTAAGCAAAAAGTCTTTCTTTTAAGCACATTTTCAATTTGTCTACGATTGGGAAAAAATTTTAAATTTTTCACTGCCATTAAGTACCACATTATTCTCTTTATTTTCACCAAACCCTATTTTGCGCGTCTTCTTTCTTTATTTTCATGCTTGTACTGATTAGAAATAATGCTTGAGAACCTTTTAGCACTTTCTTGAATGCCGAGAAAATTTTCACGAATTGGTGTCACATATTCCAAAAGAGATTTAAGCAATCAAACACCAAGAGCCAGATCTGCAGCTTTATCCTGAAGTTTCATACTAGTAGCATCAATTCTAGCATCATACTAGTAGCATCATTTGAATGTAAATCTTTTTAGCACTACCTACAAGATCTGAACAAACTATCTGCCATCTGTGAGTTGAAGAAGCACAGAAGTTATACAGGGATTAGAGAAAACCAAAGAAATTGGATGCAGCCTCACAGCTGTCAACGACATTTACGCCAACTAAATTTAGAGAATGTCCTGCACAAGGAATAAGTTCAATGTTTGGGTTCTCGTTTTTCTGTAGTGCTTGCAGGCATTTGCATTTTCCTGACATGTTAGATGCATTGTCGTATGACTGACAACGAGCAGCTTTAATGTTTAAGCCAAGCTTATCTAATGTTTTCTTGACAACATCTGCCATAGCCTTTCCGCTATGTCCGCATGAAGATTCAAACCCAATAAATCTTTCTTCTACGACAGCTTCCTCGCTCACATATCGAATGATAATTGCAAGTTGGTTACAGTGTGAAGTGTCAGTTGATGAGTCAACAATCAATGAAAAGTATTTAGCACTGGCAATATTGCTGTTAATGGAATCCAGTACTTTTTTTTGCCATTAATAAGACAATTTCCTCATAACTTGTTGATGAAATGTATGAAACATTTCCTCTGCCCCAATTTCCTCGGCTTTCTAAGTGTTTAACAAGGAATAGGTCAAATTTTGCTGAGAACTTCAAGGCTTTGAGAAATTTTCCATTACTGAAGTCACCTATTTCTTCTGAATCACCTCTAAGAGCTAGACCTCGACTGTACAAAAACTTCAAGCATTCAACAACTCTTCTCAGAACTTCCCTCCAGCAACGCCTTTCATCCTCCAACTGTTGTTTTAAATAAATATCAATTTTTCCTTTTAATGTGACTAATCTAAAATAGCACTGGACTGCATCAGAATGCTGCTTGCTTTGTTTGTGTCTATGTATAGAACGCAGTCCATGTGCTCAGTTGTTGAATCCAAATATGAAACTATCGTCTGAATCTTGAAAAAGCAAGCAAAAGAAACAAAATATTTTTCCTGTGGATGGTGAATAAATAAACCAGTCTCTCTTTCTTATTTAACCATTTTTTAACTTAAAAGAATAATAGATAAGAGAGAAGCACCTTATTTTGGTGTTTGTTACTTTTTTAGATTTTTCAAAACATAGATTTTTGTCTTCAATATTTTGATCAGGAATTTCTTTTATAAAAATCCAGTAGCGCTGCTCTTCTTTCAAATCGGTCCACAATGCTGGGTCAAATTGACATATTGACAAACTGGACTAAAACAAAAAACAACGGTGCAGCTTAAGTTAACGATTAAAAATAATACGTTTAATAATATTACTCATAACAATTATATTAACAATAATAATAATAACAACAATAATAAAAGAAATAATAATAATGAAAATAACAACAATAACAATAAATTTAATTATTTATTCCTTCCTCTAAATTCCAAAGTATTCTTACATTGCCATATAACACATTTTCATGCTGCGCTGTTGAATTGAACACCGATACACTGTTCATTGAAGAACTATCTGTTACGTTCTGCAATTGTTAACATTCTGCAGTTGGGTTTGATTCAGTTGACAAACATTGATTCTCCTCTAATGCTTAATCAGGAGATCGGAAAAAATTAGTCAATTTTGGGATTTTTTTAATGTTGTTTGCTGTCTGTCGCATTTTTTTTTTTTTTTTTTTTTTTTTTTAGTTTTCAGTTTGCCTTTTAAATTTCCGCTTAGGTATTTTCTGTTCATTATTGTCCAATTATTGCAAATAATAATGTAATCTTAATTTAAAATTTATTAGTGGTAAAAAAAAAAAAAAAAAAAAAAAAAAAAAAAAAAAAAAACAAGTAAAAAACTAATATTTCAAAAAATATATAAAATATTTAATACATATTTACCAATAAATATAAAAAAAACAAGCAAATATTAATTTAAGGGATTATATTTGTTCTCAAATAAAATAAAAAATTCAAATCAAAATGTCAATTCGCATTACTTGGTAAATAATTAAACAGTTTAGCATTTAACTTGTATCCTTTTATTTCACTTTTTCAAGTAAGTAAAAAAAGATAAAAATTGTTGAACATTTTTCCAATAAGTTTGAACGTTTTTAAGTTCGAACTTTTTTTTTAAAGTTTAGAGTTTTTATTTTTAATTACATGAGAAATTAATGTAATTAGTCTGATTAGAAATTAGCAAAATTAATTTCATTAAAAATTAATAAAATTAATTTTAGAATGTCAAGTCATATATAATAAAAAAAATAATATAAAAGTTAAAAATCGGGGGCCCCACTGGTACCCTAATTTTTGGAGGCCGGGCGCCTAGGCTAGGAACCCGGGTTAATCCAGCATTGAATGTATCATTAAAAATTTTAACTATCATTAAAAAAATTTTAAGTAGATATTACTTTTTTTACAAACAGTTTTTAGATGGAATAGTTTACCAGAATTGGTAGTGGAGTCTACATCAGTCAAAAAATTTAAATCCAATCTTAAACTGATTGACTTACAAATACGATTAAACAAGAAAAACAAAAACAATTAAATTTTTAGACAGCTATTGTATTGGCTGTCATCTCAACAGCATTTGAATTATATTATATTACTCGAAATATGAATTCGACAACTTTTATGGAGATCATATTATTTCTTAAGGAGTTCATACTATTTTTTAGAACTTTATCTTTTCTATTTCTATTTTTACAATATCATGAAAGTAGCGCACTTTCAATGACACTTAACAATAATATTAAAATGACAAACCATTTAAAAGATATGTTGATGGTATACATTCACCATTCTTATTAGAAGAAGATGTAAAAAAGTTTTAGATCTACTTAATAAGATACATAAAAGTATTAACCACAATTAACCACAATTAAACACAATAGATTCTGCCATTAAATCATCTTAACTTTAGTTACTTATTACATATTTTATTACAAAATACCCAATTTAGTTATTAATGAATGTAACATGTATTGTCCCACAAGGATTGGATAATTATTGTCCCACAAGGATTGGACAAATATTGGACCCCTGTTATTTTTAATAGCCATAAATGACCTTAAAAAACTTCTACCTTAACCACTATAACTTTTTCTAGTAACAAAAACCTTTTCTAATCTCATGAAAACATGAGTACAGATTTTAATAATATGGCAAAAGAATTAAATAAAATCTCATATTGGTCTAAAAGTTATTTTCTTTAAATTTTAATTAAAAATATGGATACTTTTTTACCCAATCTAGAGGGAAAAAAGGTTTGCCAAACACGATGCTTGATCTCTTTATTGATAATACAATAATAAAAAAGTTACAAAACTTCTCGAACTTTTTGTAGACAAAAAACTATCCTGGAAATAACAAGTTGAAACACAAACATATGTTAAACACACAACATTTGACGCAACTATGTAATTCACTTATTGATTGCTTTTTAAATTATGTAAATATTGTATATGGCACACAAAAAACAAAATTAAATCTCTTTATCAGCATCAGAAATACGCAGCTTGCTCTATATTGTTAAATTGCAGGGCCGTGAAGAGGAAAAAAGGTGCTGGTGCAATAGTTTTTTTTTTTTAATGTATTTGTAATTATAAAACTACCGCTTGTAGTCTAGAAAAATTTTACGGGTGTATGGGACCTTTTTTTTTTAAGAAGTTAGTCGGTACTTTTTTCACACACCCCCCCCCTCATATTTTTCGTAGAATCGCCTCTGCTTGTAGTTATATGTTTCGTAAATTAATTCTGCATGGTAACCAAGCAGCCATTTTTTGTGAAAGTTGTTTGTTAAAGTTTCAAATTCTTTTAAATAAGGAAATATAACTTTAAGGAAATAGTTTTCCTTAAAAAAGGGAAATAATTAAGTAAATTATTTCCTTAAAAAAAAATATCTTAAATGTAATTAAATAATCAAAGAGAAATTGAGAATTGTAATTAAGGCAATTTTTCCTGCATTAAGGAATGTAATTTAGGCATGTAAGGAATATAATTCCCAGACATTAAGGAATTTAATTAATGCAATTTTTACTGACATTAAGGATTGTAATTAAAGGATAATTTCCTGACAACATAGAATATAAATAAGGCAATTATTCCTGTCATTAAGAAATTTAATTAAAGGCATTTCATGGTTTCAAAAAACAATATTAAAGAATTATTTTAATAGCTTACATTCAAAACAAAATTGTGTCAATTGGCAGCGCTAAGGTTATTATTTTGAAACATGTACTAAAACTAACTTACAAAATAGTTGCACGATGGGTAGCACCCAAGATCCAAAACATTATCAAATCAAACGCATTAAATAAATTCACAAATCACAAAAAGTGACAAGTGTACAGCAAAATGGCTATAATAATAATAACTTATCTGAAAACAAGTCACAAGATTACAAGTATTAAAGTAAACTAAATTGTTTACTCAACTAAATAATACACAAAAAAACAAACTGATACAATATAAGTGCAAGAGCAAAATAACACAGCCATTGTACAGCCAAATATTCAAGTGAATACAAAGAAATAAATGCAGCGCATGCATACAAATTTAAAAAGTAATTTACACAGCCAAATATTCATGTAAATACAATGTAACAACTGCAGCATGAGTATACAATGAAACAAGGCCACTTATGCAGCCAAAAATTCAAGCTAATGCAATATAATAACTGTATCATGATGAGCATACAAATAACAAAACTGAAGCAATTTTACAAGTTTTTTGACACTATTATTTATTTAGCTATGCCACGCTTTCATACATCTTCAATGGTGATCACTAGTTAGTATATGCTACAGTTGAAAAAGTTGAGCTATATTGTTGATGGTGCCAACCATTCGTTCCTTGCCAAAGGTTAAATTATACTTTAAGTTGCAAAAATTTCTCTAAACTGTAAGGATACTCCAAATTAAAAATCCAAAACACCTTAAACTTGTAATCCAAGCGTTCCACAAGCAAACTTTTTCGTTGCACACAATTCTCCCAGTGATTTTGATGAGATCATTCGACAATTATTTAAGATACAGTTTGGGATGAGCTAAGTTTTGCGGAACATCTATAGAATTGCCAATGCTAGGCTAAATATAAAACAAAAAGTACATGTAATACGAACTAGGACATTTCTGATTCCATATAAATTTAAAATATTCACAGTTTATGCTATAAATACTAAGTTAAATTAGTTTTAAGTTAGTATTAACTTGAGAAAATAAAGATATTATAAGATAAATGTAGATTTATGTACTGAATAACAATTTGGTATGCAATCAGCAAATCAAACATTTTGTCTAGCTTTATATTTGATTTTTGGAAACTGAGCTAAAATCAAATTCCAAAATCAACTTTCAAATTTTTGTTGATTAACTAATTAATTTGAGTAAACCTATTTAAGTTTATCTAAGTTAACCTATTAAATCTATTAAGTTTACCATTAAGCTCCTGGATTTATATATATATATATATATATATATATATATATATATATATATATATATATATATATATATATATATATATATATATATATATATATTGTTATAACCTAATAGTAACAATAACACCACTGAATATAATAACAACTCTTAGTAATAACTCAATATATAATTTATTTATAACACCACACTACAAGTAAAGTTCTTGCTTCGTGTCTCTCAATATAATGTCCCGACCAAAATGGAAACTCACTTGCATGTTTATTTATTCAACATAACCGTGAACCAGAATTATGCAATTACATCAATCCTCCACCCATAAATCATTCGTACTGCTCTAAATAAGATGGTTTACGATGTACTCGATCTGATCTTCGGTTAATTGAAGAGGTTGGTTCAGAAAAAGCACCAGGCTGTTCACACAGTTTCTCTGGCTCAACATCCATGCTAATCTCATCACGATTTTCACTCAAGATTTCGCTTGAACATGGAGTTTCAATCACTTCATTTGGTTTATCAGCATTGCTCAGAATTGGAGTATTTATGCTTTCTGGTGTTTTAGTAGAGTTAATCTTTCCCACATAACGATTTACAATTTGGTTCACATGTCTCATCTGGATACGACCATCTAACGTTAACACTTTGTAACTAACATTCCCAACTGCTGATATAATTATAGCTGCAATCCACTTTTCACCTCTACTATAATTTTTGACGTAAACCGTGTCTTCTGGTTGAAAAAAACGAACTTTATCCACAGAACTGTCTGACAGCTTCTTTTCATTGATTCGAGAGCTAACTTCAGGATGTAGCATCGACAACGGATTTTGTAATCTTCTACCCAAAAAAGTTCAGCTGGAGAAACTCCAGTTGTAGAATGAGGTGTAACACGATATTTAAAAAAAAATCGGCACAACTGTGTCTCGATATCATTTCCTTGAAAGTTTTTAATTGAATTCTTAAATGTTTGAACCATTCGTTCTGCTTGACCATTTGAAGCAGGATGATACGGTGCAGAATACACTGTTTAATTCTATTTGAATATAAAAACTCTTTATATTCTTCACTCGAAAATCCAGATCCATTGTCACTAACGATCACTCGTGGTATACCATGGGTAGAAAATAATTTTCTGAGTACCTTTATTGTTGTTTTGGCTTCAGTACTGCACACTACTTCCACCTCAATCCATTTTAAAAAACTGTCAACTACTACCAAATATATTTTCCCATTCATTGGGCCTGCATGATCGATATGTAGTCGCTCCCATGGTCTACTTGGATATTCCCAAGGATGAGACCAGGTTAATGGATTCTTCTGACTTCTTTGACATGTCTCACAATTCTTTACTTTATCCTCTATTTCTGTGTCAATGCCAGGCCACCAAACATAACTTCTTGCTAAAGCCTTCATTCTACTTATTTCGGGATGCACCTCATGTAATTCCTCAAGTACCGTTTCTCTTAAGACACTTGGCACTATAATTCTTCTTCCCCACGGTAAACAACCTCCTTCCGTTGATAACTCAGAAAACCTTAATGCAAATGGTTTCATCTCCACCTTACTCGGTTCCATCGTCAACCCTCCCTCTAACACTCTATTCAGTACCACTCCTAATATTGGATCGTTTTGGGTAGCTCCTCTTAACTGTTTTTCTGTAATTGGGGTTTTTACTAGTTCCAACATAGCCACCTCTATGGTTTTTAACCTTGACTTTTCCTTTGATACATCTAAATGTAAACGGCTTAGACCATCTGCAGTTGCGTTCTTTTCGCCAGGACAATTTAGTAATTGGTAATCATAAGCTGACAATATCAAAGCCCAGCGTAACGCTCTAGCAGCAGCTCTTGTAGGAAGTTCTTTGCTTTCTGAAAATAGTCCTAATAGGGGCTTATGATCTGTATAAAATGTAAATTTTTGTCCAAATAAGAACTGATGAAATTTTTTTACAGCAAAAACTTATGCTAATCCTTCCTTTTCAATTTGTGCATAATTTTGCTCTGCCATATTTAATGTTCTTGAAGCAAAACTGACAGGTTTTTCACTTCCATCATACTGTTGTTGACTCAAAACGGCTCCTACGCCATATGGACTGGCGTCACAGTGAACCACGATTTTCCTTGATGGGTCAAAGTGAGCTAATAAAGGTGCATTGCACAATATAGTTTTTTCGCTCTCAAAGGCTTGTTCGCTGTTTCTATTCCATTCCCAACTTACGTTCTTCCTTAACAAATTATGGAGAGGCTCTGTGATGGAAGCCATCCTGGGTATGTAGGGATTGTAATAGTTGGCCATTCCTAAAAATCCCCTCAACTCCTTGATGTTCGTGGGTCGAGGCGCATTCATTACTGCTTCCACATTCCGTGCTGTTGGTTTACAACCTTTCTGACTAATTATAAATCCACAAAACTCCACCTCAGGTTGCAGTCCTGATTCTTTCAAATTTTTTTAAACAGATTCTAAGTTGTTCAGATGCTCAGCATCAGTTTTCCCAGATATAAGTATGTCATCTACTCGCACTTTTACAAATGACAGTCTGCCCAGCCTCCTGTCCATCTCCCTTTGAAAGATGCCAGTCGCACTATGTACACCAAATTGAAGACGAGTCAGCTGATACAACCCTTGGTGAGTATCTATAGTTAAAAACTCTTGCGAAATTTCATCTAATTCCAATTGTTGATAAGCTTGAGACAAATCAAGCTTGGTGTATCTCTCTCCTTTTGCAATAGTGGCTAACTGATCAGTGATATTCGGTATTGGATAACTGTCAACTGGGGCTGCTTGATTTACTGTAATCTTATAATCTCCACATATTCTTAATGGACCAGTAGAATCCTTAGAATTCTTTAAAACAGGCACTATAGGGGCTGCCCATTTAGAATACTGGACCTTCCTCCAAACTCCTTGGTCTTCTAAGGGATCAAATTCTTTCTCAATTCTAGTCCTTAAAGCATAGGGTACTGGTCTTGCTTTATAAAACTTAGGTTCTGCACCCTCACATAATGGTATGTGACATTGGAAGTTCTTCAAGCACCCTAAACAGTCACTAAATACTTCTGGGTATTTTTCTACTAATGTCTTTACTCTTGAATCAACCTTATCACAGAAATTAATTCATCTCAATCTTTTAAACAGTTCTAACCATTTCAGATTTAAACGCTGCATCCAGTCTCTACCCATTAATGTGGGCAAATTTCCTTTTACTACAGTTATAGGTAACTTACAACATTGTCCATTATACACTACTTCAACCAACCCTATTCCCTCTGGTCTAATCAGCTCTCCTGTGTAGGTTTTCAAAATAACACCAGAATTTTGTAATTTTCCTTCATTCTTCTTTATTCTTTTGTAAGTTGAGATCCCCATTACAGAGACAGCTGCCCCTGTATCCACTTCCATAGAAACCTCACTTCCATTAATTTTTACGTTAACCATAACTGGTCCAGTCACTTTATCAGACTCTTCACTTATTGAATATAGAGCTAGAAAATCATCTTTATTTTCCTCTGTTTCAGCAGTACATCCTTTTTCTGATTCATTGAATCCCAATTTTCTTCACACCTAATTTCTTTTCCTTCCTATGATCTAACTCTTTCTTTTCTGATCTGCACTTTCTCTTTATGTGCCCTATCTTTCCACATGTATGACATTTTAAATAACGATAATTACAATTGTTTGCTTGATGACCCCTAAACCCACAACGAAAACATTCTTTACTTTCTTCTGATTTTGTCCGAATTTCTACTTTATGCAATTCATCCTGCTCTATAAAGCTTTCTTTTGTAAGTATAGCTTTGGTATCTTTATATGCTGTCTCATATGCTCTCGCTGTGTCAAGTGTTATCTCCAACGTTAGATTTTTTATGGTTAATAATTTTTGTTGCACATTTTCATTATTTAATCCACAAACAAACCTGTCCCTTAAATAATCATTCAAGTTTTCACCAAACTCACAGTGTTCAGATAGTCTAGGTAATTCAGTAATATACCCGCTTACAGATTCTTCATCTTTTCTATCTCTTTTATAAAATTAAAAACGCTGTGCAATGGAGTTTGGTATCGGTTTCAAATGGTCCTTCATTAGTTTAACTATTTGAGTAAAACTCTTATTCTTTGAGTCATTTTCACATAAACTTTGGATAAGTTTATAAGCAGGTCCTCCTATGATTGATAAAAATACAGCTTTTTATTTTTCAGCATCTTTTATGTCATTGGCCAGTAGAAAATTGTCAAATCTTTCAATATATTCTACAAAATCGTCATTTTCTAAATCCAAACAAGATATATTCGATAAATGCATCATTTTTTAATCTTCGTCGCCAATTGTTATAACCTAATAGTAACAATAACACCACTGAATATAATAACAAGAATTATGCAATTACATCATATATATGTGTATATATATATATATATATATATATATATATATATATATATATATATATATATATATACATAAATATATATATATATATATATATATATACATATATATATATATATATATATATATATATATATATATATATATATATATATATATGTATATATATATATATATATATATATATATATATATATATATATATATATATATATATATATATACACTGTGCAACATTTATATTTTTATGAAACTTATAAGTATAGTTTTAAACTTAGGTTAACGTAGAAAAGTAATTAAATCAAGCATATTTCAAATATGCTTGATTTAATTACTTTTCTACGTTATAATAATAATTATATATATATATATACATATATATATATATATATATATATATATATATATATATATATATATATATATATATATATATATATATATATATATATACATATATAATTATTCAGCAAGATCAGCTGTCAGTAATCCAAGTATCAGCATCATTAAAAATTCATCTTTGCTGCATTACATTTATTTTGGTCCAAGTAGTTAAGGATTTAAATTTCAAAAAAATCAAAAAAATCAAAAAAATCATCTACAGAAGTAGATGTTTTTTTAATATCACTTTATCATAAAGTGATATTAAAAAAACATGGTGAAAATATGCTTTAAGAGCACTAATTTATATGGTGTAGTGAAAGGTATACCTTTATAAGATATGTAAAACTTTTTTATTCTCATTTATTATATATTCAAAAATTTCTCCTTGTGTGTGTGTGTTTTTTTTTTCTAATTTTTTTTTATTAACAGCTTCTTCTATTAAATACGATGGAGCGACTGAAACTTTAATTGATGACATTTTGTCTAACTCCTTAAAATGCGCTCCATTTTGAAAAGGTGGCAGAAAAGAAAAAAATTTAATTGATTGATATAAATTTATATTTATAAAAATCAATCTAAAATTTCTTTATTGAAATATTTACATATATTTCAATAAAGAAATATTTTCTTTTTGTCTGCTAATATTTTTTTTTTTTTTCAGTGTTAATTCAACATTACAAATTAAAACTCAATTATGAAAAAAGCCTAGGATTGAGTTTACGTTTTAAGTAAAATAAGAAAAGCCCAAAAAGTAACTGATATAATATTTTTATTTATTAAAAATATTATATCAGTCTGCAAAACTGTATACTGCAAAACTGCAAAACTATATATATATATTTTATTTATTAAAAATATTATATCGGCCTGCAAAACTGTTTAACGCCTTAAAGTGCATGGAAATGTAAAAAATTGCTTTAGCAAATGCATGTTATTTAACATAAAAAATGTCATTATCTGATCCCTATCCAAGCTCCATAAGTGTATAAACATGGACGTTAAACCACTAATAAATGGCCACATAAAATTTGTTATAAAAATTTTATGTGATCACCTCGAAAAATTATTTTTAGAGATGTTAGAAATGTTTTATATTTTGATTATTAATTTATTTTAAAAAAAGGTTGTTTTATTTAAATTAAATGTTTGAAAAAGTTATTAATAACCAACTAACAGTTATATTATTTTTTTAAAATTCAGAGTCTTTTCGAAAAGTTATATGGCCTCCACGGATATGAAGGGCAAAGGTGGAAAAATATGTTTTAATAACACTAATCTATATGACGTTGAAAAAGATATACCTTCATAAGTTGTAACACTTTTCCATTCATTATATATTTTTTGAATCTTCCCTTTTTGATTCTTTTTATATATTTTTTTTATTTACAGCTTCTTCTATTGTATTTAATGGACCAAAAGAAACCTCGGTTAATGGAACATTGTTTGACTTTCTAAATTACGCTCTATTTCAAAAAGGTGGTGGAAAAAAGAAATTTGTGTAGATTTTATTCAATTATATGTAAATATATGTAATATTTAGATATATTTTTCAATAAAACAAGTTTTATCTCTTTCTTTAATCATACCTAGCTATTTTAACTAAACTAAACTGAAAAAGTTCTAAATAGTCTAAGTATAGACTATGAATAGATTTAATATCCATAATACATCTTGATAATGTACAGCAACACTAATGTACGTGCATAGTACGTTTTGATGGTGATCACATTTTGACGCACATAGCACGTTTTCATACATATATACATTTTGACATACATAGCACGTTTTGATGGTGAAAAAGTGTTTTACAGTCGTTTTAACTTTGATAAATCAACTTTTAAAAAACTATTATTTTAAAAGTTGTATCAACGTAAATTCAACGTTATTGTAACGTTTTTTCGCGTCGAATCAACGTTGATATGTTTGAACCTAACGTTGATTTAACGTTGATAAATCAACGTTAAAAAAACTGTCATTTTAAACGTTGTATCAACGTAAATTCAACGTTATTGTAACGTTTTTTCGTGTCGAATCAACGTTGATATAACGTTTGAACCTAACGTTGATTTAACGTTGATAAATCAACGTTGAAAAATACTTTCATTCTAAATGTTAAATCAACGTAAATTCAACGTTAGATTTCAACGATATTTCAACGTTATTTGCCGGCTGGGCAGTTTTCAATATTGCACCATCTTTTTAATATTTATTAAAATAACAAAATCCATGTCATACATGGTTACACAATTGGAATTTTCTTTATTATAACAAATATAAAAATATAAAAAATTGTAATTGATATGAGAGAAAATAATATTTTGTAAATTAAGCACATCTTACGGGGAAAACTCCCCCTAAAATCATCAAAAAAACAAAAATTTAGCATGACCGTTTTTAGACATAAAAATTACCATAGATTTCATTTATGTAATTTGTTTTTCATAAAAATCATTCTAAAGTTCAGAAATTTTAAGTTTTTTAATGGTGAGTTTATGTTTCGATATATCGAAAGTGTAATTTTTTTGTCGTATTTGAAAAAAAAAAAAAAAAAAAAAGCTGATGTAAAATGCCTAGCTTGAGTTAGGATGCTTCATTCTATTATACTTCTTGTTCAGCTAAGCAAAAGTAAGCGAGATTAGGAGACAAAACGCACTCAGATTAATTTAATTTAACAAGAATGCCAAAAAGTTGTAGAGTAAAACGTCGAACTAATCTTGTTAGGAAAAGGTGTAGATCTTTTCCAGTTAAAAAATCATTAATTTATGAAGAAGAAGTTGTTGTTGATAGTGTAAATAAAGAATCTACTTCAATTGTAAATATTTTAATTAATAATGTCACTGTGATTCACTGTCTGAGTGATGAAAATAAAAAAATGACGGTTCTGATAATATCGTAAATATTCCAGCATCACATTCAAAAATACGACAAATTGATGTAGTTGAAACTTCTACTCTACTGTCTGGATATAGAATTATAGATATAGAAGTGTTATCTGTTATTTTTAAAGAACTCATTTGTCCAATGTGCTTCAATGAAGACTCTCTTGTGTTGTCTGACAACTTAAAAGATCGACATAGACTTGCCTCTTTTTTATTTTTAAAATGCTCAGATTTTTTATTTCGTAAAATTTTTGTACTTCAAAAAAAAGTGGTTAGCAGGGATTCGACATAAATAAGCGAGCTATTTACACAATGCGGTCATTGGGTCATGGTCACGCAGGACTTGAAAAATTCACTTCTTTAATGAATATTCCTCCGCCAATGACTACAAATAACTACGACAAGCTTGCTAAAACAATCTCTAAAGTTGTGAAAAAAGTAGCAATAGAAACTATGTGTGATGCTGCTGCGGAAATCAGACACAATTCGAATACTGATATTGTTGATACTGGTGTTTCATGTGATGGGACATGGCAACGACGAGGTTTTTCATCATATAATGGCGTAATGACTGCAATATCTATTGATAGTGGAAAGATATTGGACGTAGAATCAATGAGTAGAAATTGTAAAGCTTGTATTTTAATGGAACCAAAAAAGAAAAGTGAACCTTTACATTTTGCTGAGTGGAGAAATGTACATAAGTATGCATATGACTACAAAGGGTCTGCTGGGGGTATGGAACCAATTGGTATGAAAAAAATATTTGAACGTTCTATTACAGAACGCAAGCTTCGCTATGTAAACTATTTAGGTGATGGGGACAGTAAGAGCTATTTAAATTTTATGAATGTCTACCCTGGTTTGGAAGTAAAAAAACTTAAGTGTGTTGGACATTATCAAAAACGTATCGGTACAAGATTAAGAAAGTTGAAGAAAAAAACTAAAAACCTTGGTGGTAGAGGTAAATTAACAGATGCGACAATTGATCGGTTGCAAAGTTATTTTGGTATTGCGATCAGAGCTAATGTAGGAGATTTAGCATCTATGAAAGCTGGTACTCTGGCATCGCTTTATCATGTTGCCTCCAATAAGGAGAATAATCTACATTTTCCACATTGCCCAGATGGAGCTGATAGTTGGTGCAAATATAATTCAGATAAAACCAATGGAACAAATACTTATAAACCTGGACCAGGTTTACCAACTTCTATTGTTTATAAAATCAAACCAATCTTTGCAAAACTCAGTGCTGACCAACATTTGGAAAAGTGCTTACATGGTAAGACACAAAATACTAATGAAAGTTTTAATTTTACTATCTGGGAGCGTTTACCTAAAACGAAATTTGTATTATTTAGTCAATTAGAATTTGGAGTTTATGACGCAGTAGCTAATTTTAACATTGATCGAAAAGCCTCAATTTTAGTTTATGAATCTTTGAACATAATTCCAGGAGTATATACTCTTAAAGGTTGTAAAAATTGAAACTATAAACGACTGTTACATTCTAAGTACAGAAATATTGATAAAAACAAGTTGCGACGAAAAATAATTTGTGGCAAAAAACATAACAAAAATGATAAAGAAAAGGAAAAAAGAAGGGAAGTTGTATGACGCAGGAGGTTTCTAATACTTTTTATTAGATATTTTAACTATAGTATGTGTTTTACTTAAAGTTTTAAAGTTTTATGTGCTTAAATTTATTTATTTAATTAAATAAATTTAAACACATAATTAAATTTAATTAAAATTTTTTTTCTTTTCGCGTTTTCTCAAAATAGTCTTTTTTCACACACCGGCCGTTCTACCTCAAGAACCGTTTTTACCAATTTTGATGAAGTTTTCTGGAGTTGTTTTTATGATTATAAACTGTGGTTTAATACAAACAGTTTTTTAAATTGAGGTTTAGATTTTTTTATTTTTAATATTTTGAATAAAACATATTTTCACCATCTTTAAATGTGCACACATCGCTCAGATTTTTAGTTACAGGAAAAGGCTGCTATTAAAACACCCTTTGACCTTTTGTGAAGCATTTGGTCAAAGCTTTTTTAGAGATCTTGCATGGTTATTTAGTTTTTACGGCCGGTGTGAATGCATTTTTTGCCCATTTTTATGTGTTTTTTGTGGTAACTATGGCAACCAAAAACCATTTTGTATTTTTTTTCAAGGATTTTGTTTATTCATATTATATTGATGTTTTATATTCTTGATTTTGTTTAAAATGTTTAATACTTCTGTTTAGGGAGGGGGGGGGGGGCTTCCCCCTTAAGGTTTTGTCGTAGAATTAGTATTTGCTATATGGTAAGGTTATATCGTAATATAGTAAGGTTATATCGTAATATGGTAAGGTTAGGGCATTTTATCATAGCAACAAGTCTAAAAAAACCAATACTTTGAATAATTAAATAGAAAAATACTTTTTGAAAACTTTACATTCTTTGCATAAACTCGTAATAAAATACGTATTTTATTGGGATCGGCCATAAATTACGCAACTCTAAATTTATTTAAAAATACAAGTAGGAGATCTTAAGGAGATCTTTTACGCGGTGATTTTCATTAAATTTAATGTGCTGTTTTTATTTTTTATTTAACTTAAGGCTCTGCAAGGAAAAGCTTTTGATCTTATTTTGTTTTTTTATTAGTAAAATTTAGCTTGCGTAACTTATGGACTACCCCTTACGCAAAATATCTAATTAAACAAAAACCGATTTAATTTCAATTTACCAGCTACTAATACTGAAGATTAAAAACGATTATAAACAAAAGTTATTAGAAAAAAGTATAAAAGCTATTATGATACTTAAACAAATGAAAAGTCGTCATTTTATAATGTCATACTCATAAGTACTAGACAACCAATCACTTAGTTGCTGATTAGCATCTGTTTTAGTTTTTTCTTGAAACACAACATGGTTATTGATATCCACTGTAATGACTGTACTTGTTCTAAATATGAATAAAATGTTTTTTTTTTTTTTTTTAATAAAAACAAAATAATAAAAACAAACTTACTTGAAGTTGAAGTTTACCTTGTTCCAAAAACGTTTGCATTGTCGAAAGGAGCAGTTGTAGGATCTATATATATTGACGAATTCCATTCATCAGAAGACTCCTGACAAAGATCTGTATTTCTAAAAGTTAACAATTATAGCAGTTGAATAAATTTTCTGTTAATCTTCTTTAAGACTTTAAAAAATGATAAAATAAAATAAAAAAGACTATTAAGGTTACTTAGTTTTATCAGCTAATAATGTGAATAACTTTTCGTGAATGTTTTCAATTTCTTCTTCACTATTAAACAAATCCTTAAATTTATTTAAGCTGTTCAAGGCCTTTAAACATGGTTTATCTAACGAACTATTGGTCAAACATAAATATCCTAAAATATAAAAAAAATTATTTCAACTTAAAGCATTAACTTTAAAACATGATCATTGTACAAAAGATTATCATATAAGAAGAAGAAAAAGAAGAATAAAACCTTAAAACCTTTTTCCAAAGCACACAAGTTGTTTTCAGTACTTATATAGATAAAATCACTCTCAATTAATCCAGCAACCAAATTGAATGGACGAAATGTTTTTTTAATTTTCTCTAAGCCTAATAAGTAATCCGATGGATTAATTTCACTTCTTAAAAAGTCAGCAACAAGTTGTCCACGACCCTTCTGAGCAGAACTAATGACTTCATTTGTACTGATATTTGTCAAAAAACACACACGACCTGAGCGTGTTATGCCTAACCAAGTTCCACCTTCATATCCTTCAGTCAAATCTTGACCTACAATTGCATTAAAAAAAAAAAATGATTATAAATAACTTATAAAAACAAAAATTGAGATTCAACAAGTTGAAACTTGGAACCAACAGTATCTTAACCTGCCAGAATGTGTGAATCATTTCCTTCCCAGAATGAAGCTGGTTTTGCAGGTCTTGAGAAGTACTCATCTCTATTAGCAGCTAATATAAATTTATAATTTGAACGTGAAACACCCCGCCATAAAAATATTATACACATGCTAAAAATAATTTCTGCATTAAAAAAATATTTAAGAACAAATTTTTGTTAATAAATAAACTTTTAAAAATATAATGATTTAAACGTTTTCAAAAAATATTTAAAAGAAGATTTTCAAAATTATCAGAAGACATTTTATTTTTAAATATTTAAACTTTTCTAAAAATAATTTCTTCAATTTTTTTAAACATTTTAAAAAATACTACAAATTTAATTCTTCCATCTCAGCAATAAATTTTTCTTCTTGTTGTTTCAAATTATCCAATTCAGTTTGAAATCGTTGTTTTAAAAAAGGATTTGCAGCCTTGCGTACTCTCATTTCTTGCTCAAGTTTCTTTTCTCGTATCTCCATCAATTTTTTTTCGTACTCAATATGCATATGAGATTTTTCTTTTTTTACCTCATTAGTTTCAGTATTTTCTTCTTCATCACTACTGCTAATATCAGGTAAAATATCTCCTTCATCTAAAGCAATGTCATCAGAAAACATGCTAAAATTAGAATTCTCATTAAATTGTTCAAGTGTTGGACCACCA